TTTCCTCAATCCTTCAGCTCCTCCTTTTCACATGCATCTCACCCCTCACCTCATAGTCCAGGTCCAGGTAGTCAAACTCGCCATTGGTGCGGAAGTGCTGCACGCTCCTGTCCAGTGTGAGGTTGATGCTGCGGCCCTGGCGCTCCAGCAGCACAGAGTGCCAGTGATGGTCGTCCAGCAGGCTGCCCGCTGTCACTGCTGTGTGTCCATAGATGGGGCCCAGCTGGTTGCTTCCTGCAGCAGGGGGGAGAGAAACCATAATCAGCCAGCTGGGCAGGGCACAGCTATGCCGGAAAGGTCATCTGCATGTCCATGGGTCACTCAGAACTTAAGTCCGCTCATCTAACAAGGAAAAGGCCTGTTGTACTGTGTCACCGACTTCACTCTGCCCTGTTCACTGACTCCCCAGTCCCAGGCTCTGAGAGCTTAACAATGCCCCTGGGGTGACCTCTCTCTGCCCTGGGCCCTTACTCCCCAGTTCCAGGCTCTGAGCAGGGTCTGACGCTGTCCCCAGAGGCTAGGTTCTGAGTGTGGGCCCGCTGCACCCACAAGTAATGACACTGCTGCTTCACTTCCACCCCATCCGCTTCCTTGTCTGAACCGGTATCGTGTGTTACCACCTTGGTCTGAGAATCGGCGCATTGTGAGAATAAAGCACAGAGCAACGGTGCCAAGGCGTTAGTTATTGCTGCCACACGGAGGGTTCTAAGGCCTCATCCCTCACACCTGTCCTGGAGACCTAACACCTGGGTCTTTGTTCTTGTGGGTGAAGGATAATGCTGCCCACAGCTGTGACCCAGTGTATGTGGCGGGGAGCAGTGTTTCGCCCCGAGTGGAGTGGTTGCCCTAGGTCTGCCCCTTTTTAATGTGGGGACCAAAAGGCAGGCAGCTGGAAACAGGCCTGACCTTAGGCAGCTGTGCAAAGAGCCACAGTGACCAGCAGCTGGTCTGCTCTCCCTGCGGTCCACCAGCCCAGCTAGTCCACCCGGCTCAGGGCCACTGCTGCCCCGTGGAAAGAGAATGAGCTTCAGAGGAAGAAAATCAGATGATGAGTTTCTTGTTTCAGAAAAGTGATGTCGCACTTCAAGAAAGCACAGTGACTTTCAAAGGTCACTCTGAAGGTTTCAGTGGACAGAGACGACAAAAGAGCTTTTAAAAAATAAATCACGGATATAACCCAGCAGCCCTGTTGGTATGTGGGTGCACGCAGTGAAAACCCAGGAAACGGTTTACATCTGGTTGCCGGCCCTTGACCCTCACATCTCTCCCTTCCTGCTCCTGATCTATGTCGCATAAATGATTTAGGGCTGCATTTTCCCCACATGACACGAGAACACATGTTCATTCTTACAAGCAAGACAAGGAAGAATTCACACACAAAACTGTCATCCCACTCATTTCTGGCACTAAAGACACTGTTTCCTTCCACATTTCCCTCCACACCCAGTATAAAGCCTGAGAAATCATATCCGGCATGAGGCTGGCACCAAATGTCAGACACTGACCCCTCCCATGGATTCCTGAACAAGGGGCCAGATGAGCGGGCAGGGCCCCGAAGTCCACTTCTCACAAGTCTTAGGGTCTCTGGTTTAATTATGCACATTTCCATTGGGTGTTATGTGCATTTAATATGACAATATTAGCATCATACTTTTCATAATATTTTGTACCTTAGAGTCTTAAAATGATATTGTACATATTTTAAATGCATGTCAACCAGCTATTACACATTTAGCATTTTTCCACCCAAATAATTTGACATTATAATGAATATTGCAAAGTATATCAAGGACTTAAATCCTTGTAGGCATTTCTCATTATTTCTTAAGATTATTGGATAGAAATTGATCTTAAAAGTCTAGATGTGTATCTTCCCGATCATTCAGAACACTCCAAAGGGTTCCCTATGTCACACACAAACACAGATATAATTAATTTTAAATGTATTTAGTTGTGATTTATTTTAATAAAATGCACTTATGGATATAAAATAATTTCTCATTATTCCTCAAGCAACACCACCTCGTGCTTCATTATTTGATTATGTATCCTGGTTACAAGGGCTGTGGGTGAGTGATTCGTTTATAAGTTATTCCTACTTCCTCTCCAGTAAGTCATCTGCTATGCACTTGGCCACATCTTTCCAGCAAGCCTTGGGTGCTCAATGGTCCCACTTCGGCATCTGACAGTCCACTCAGGACTCTCCCATCAGTGTCCTCTGGTTTTGAAGCTGTCTGCTTGCTGCTCACGCCCTAACCCTAGGAACTAGCCTTCATGTCCCCCTTAGGCCCAAAGCTTTGCGTCATGCTGACCCTGCCCCTGCCTCTTCGGATGCCCACTTCCCTGCCCTGCCTCACCTGACCTGGACTATGCAGGGTTCTTCACTAACGACCTGCCCCTCACCTGGCTATGCTGAAGCCTGCTTTCCTGCCGTGTAGTGCCATGCCTCCCAGGAGCTGCTCGTTCTGAAGGATTCGACTAAAGCTCATATTTCTCTCACCTCCTTGCTCCATAATCCACCCACACACCCTCCTCCTTCCTGGAGCCTGATGCTGAGTCTCAGCTTCCAGAACTACTGCCTCTGGAACACGTCTCCTTGACTTCTGTGTGACTCGTTCCTCATCACCACACAGCCTGAGACGTCCCTGTTTCCTCACCCAAGACGCTGTCCCTCACTACAGGCTCTTGGTCACAGCACCCACCATAGCAGCCACCATTCTGTGGCATTAACACTCTTAATTCAGTTGGTTTAAAACAACAGTGAAGGTTCTTACAGTACCTGACCCCTTCCTACACCATCAGCCTCCTGAGTTCAAGAATTGTGTCCCCGAGGTCTCCCAGAACCTGGGGTGGCACCACAGTTGTCCGAAGGTCAGCTGGTGTGTGGTCTTCTGAAAGGACTGGACGCGGTCACCATGTCCCTAACGGAGTGGAGCCAGGTCTGAACTTACCCAGGTTCAGGCTGAGCAGCAGGTTGGCTTTCCTTAGCTCCAAGGTGATGTAGTCACCTTGCTGGCCCTCGCCATGCAGGATCACCCCTTCGCTCGCTGACGTTTTGAACTTCAGGGCGATAACATCTTTCAGGGTTTTCATCTTCTTGTTCCTGAATCGGTATGGCAGCACCACATGGCCGTCAAAGTTGATGACGTCGGCCCCTGAAAGAGGAAGGGATGTCACAGCGTCAGTCACTGTGCGACCCCCGGGGCCGCGTGCTCACTGCTCCTGGGCCTGTGCACGAGTCCCACAAGTGTCCGCCAAGAGAACCCCAGCGCTCCTCCACGGTCAACCTGGAAACGATTGTGTGGGAAGGACTGATGGAGTGTGTTTATGAGCGGTGCTGAGAAAACCAAACAGAATGCTGGTGGCCGAGTCCTGAGCAGCTGCCCTGCAATCCCAAAAGTGCCCAGTTCAAAGCCTCCGGCATGCTGCAGGAGAAGGACAATCTCCTCCTGTGTGATTTACTGCCTCTAAGCCCCGGAGTTCTAGTGGCGTGGTGCACGAGCACTTCACTGCTGACTGGAAGGCAGGCTCTCCTCTGCCCTGGGGATCTGCGTTCTGCTCTTCCTCTAACAGCGTGTGTGTGCTGTTGTTGTGCACCATCTAGTCAGAACCGACCCAGAGCCGACCCTCCTGCAGGTTTTCAGAGGCAGTTAATCACCAGGGAGGAGACCGCCCAGCCTCCTCATGGAGCAAGTGGTGGCCTCTAGCTGTGTGCCTTTGGGATTATGGCACAACTTCTTGCCACTAGGCCAGAGGTGGTGTTGTTATGTGCTGTCCAGTTGCCTGTGACTCATAGTGACCCTATGTACAACAGCCCTACACCCTGCTCTAGCCTGAGCCAATCTCATTGTCCCTGACACCCCACCCCCACTACCCCAGTCCCTGAATCAATCCATCTCAAATCATACTTTCCCCCTTTCTACAAAATTGGCCCAAAGCAAGGCCAAATGTTTAGAAAGGAGAAAAAAAGTATGATTTATATTCTTAATTATTGATTCAGTATTGCCTGTTAACAAAAGGCTTCCTTCATCACCACAGCTCTGCTTTATGTGACTGTGAGTCTCAGGGGTCTCCTTGGCAGTCAGGGAAGCTCAGACATTCTGGTTTCTGTTAGCACTGCAATGCCAGGAGGGAAGGGGAGGAGAGGGGCAGGGGGAG